AGAATCATAATTCGGAACTGCTGTGATCAGCAGCAATAATCATTACATCACAGCAACAGTATCTTCAACACCAGTAACATCAGATCATGCAGAAAAAGACACGCCTAATCAAAACAATGGCTGGGAGAAGAAAGGAACGGCTGTTTTCCGGATTTACGTTGTATTTCACAACAGAGCTTGCCTTTTTTAATCCCCTCCCTTTGGATCTTTCAACAAGACCTCTAAGACATTTCGATTTTATGGATGAGAAGATATTTTTTTTTCAGAGGTGGTTTCCTCCTCAATGTGCTAGATTCTGTTGCGCAACTGCTGCCAACAATTTTTTGCAAAAAAGGGGATGATTGTTGGATTTTGTTCGAGAGGATTAAAACATATCTATAATGATGAATTAAAAATAAAACATGGACGTATTTTTAATGCACTAAATAATAGTTTAATGGTAAAAAGTTGCTAGTATCAATTCTAATAGTGAAATGCTAAGTAAAGCAGATCCTTTTGTAAAGTAAAATGGAGTAAATGAGACTGAATAACATGTTATCCTCCCAGACCGCCTAGTTATGACTCTCTTTCTTCACAGCAAATCCCTAGAGATCTGCAACAAAAAATCATCACGGTTATGCGTTTTGAGTTTCCAAGCTGTCTCTAAAATGAGTGAGTACATGACGTAAGTTTTTTTATAATAGTTTTTAGGCCTATTTTGCAGTGTGGTCGCGGATTCGGCATATCATGCTAGATGCTGCTAGCGTTGACACGATACCAAAATTTGGGCCAACTTCCGTACTTTCCTCCTATTATGAGTAAAAAGAGGTGAAAAATGGATTTACATTATTCGCATATGGCCTGAGATGATGCTGTCAAACAGCTTTCTGCCTTTCAGTTCCGAAGCTGAATAACTGCAGCAGATGAATTTTCTCGCATTCGCTAAAAAGCAGATTAGACACAATACTCTCAGAAGAATATGTTTTTTGCATGATCTACCAAAAAACGCATAAAACGGGGCGAAACTGAAGGCTGGGCTTAGCCACCGAGGCAAAGACTGCATATAACTGGAACATACAGCATAGATAATAAAAAAGACAAAGTGGTACTTTAATTAGCTGCCACTGAATCCTACTACAGTTGCTTTAATCAGTCTAGCATCGCCTGGTGGTTAGCCTGCTGCCACTGTAGGAATTTATCTGAAATTGCTTTGTTAAGCGTGATTTTTTTTGTTGTAAAAAGCACGTGTTTTTTTTTTAATTTTGAGTAGTAAGCTTTGCAAGAAAAGACAAATAAGGATTAGAGAAGCAAGCTGAAAATTAATTACAAGTTTTTAGCTTCCTGTGCAATAAAAGGCCAAAAGGAACCCTCCACATGATTTCAGACTTTTAAACTTTTGCACTGCAATAATCTAGTGGTAGCCAGCTCCTATTTCTGTCACAACTAGCATCATCCTTTCATAAATCGTTTGTTTTCAAATACACATTTTATTTGTTTTTTTGGCGTTAGATAGGATAATTAGAAGGTTTTTGCTGATTTTCATAACGGCTTCGTAGGACACCATTTTGCATAAAAATCAATCATAATCATGGCACAACTACTGAATGCGGTAGCAACGGCCTGGACAATACTGAGGTGCGGTCAATTTTAGTGATTATTGACACACGGCCAAACTATATGCGTCCTAAAAAATAAGTAGATGTCTTAAAAAAAGACGGGTAATGAAGTATAAAAAATAAGCTGCTCCTGTTTCAAGTGTCGGAAACGTACTTTTTGCACTTTGAGCACGTGCTACAAGTCACTTTGACAAAATATTTCCACACCGTCCACTTTCTCTCCTCCCTCACCCTCCTTCCGCACCCCAG